TCGTTCTTTCCTATGAGAGCTGCTCATTGGTGCAGGAAGACAAAATGGCCCAACTTTTGAGAGAGCGAAACGTCACAGATTACCCGTCATGCCTCGGCGTCAGAGCAGAAGAACCTGTATGTGCAGTCACAGAGCAGGCCCCCATTAAGCCCCGCCCCCCAAGCTCCCACTCTCGCTCAGTAGAATGAATGGAGAGAGAAAATAAATCTAGATTCGGCTTTTAGTGCATTTTAAAACTTTAAGGACCGAATGATTCTAATAAGGGCTATACAATAGTTCATACTGGGTAGTTTATTTAGTTTAAAGGTCCCATGTCNGGCGTCAGAGCAGAAGAACCTGTATGTGCAGTCACAGAGCAGGCCCCCATTAAGCCCCGCCCCCCAAGCTCCCACTCTCGCTCAGTAGAATGAATGGAGAGAGAAAAATAAATCTAAATTCGGCTTTTAGTGCATTATACAACTTTAAGGACCGAATGATTCTAATAAGGGCTATACAATAGTTCATACTGGGTAGTTTATTTAGTTTAAAAATAAATTATTCACCGATTTACAGACGTCTCTTTCCCCATGTTAGTCAATGGGGAAAAAGTTGTTTTGGGCCGGGTGACGTCACGGACTGATATGTGCAGCAAATTGCAGTACCGCCGTTTGGACAAAACGAATATTGGCACAGAGTCCGGCGCACTTCCTGGGGGCTTGATTATAGTACGATGACATCGAGATGGCACCATGGTGTGCAATGTTTCCTTTCAGATCGCTTCTCTGGTTGTTTTATTGCACAACAAAATTGTGTTAACATATTATTGTAAATAACCCAATTTGTGTTCTGTGAAACTGAAAAGGATATTACATTGTTTGTGTTACTTTTGTTGCAGTTGTTGTATGTCTTAAATGTAATTTAGGTTAACTTCCTGTTCATTTAGATGCTTTTGTTTTGAAGGCGAGTTTAAGCTGTTGACAGGAAGTTGTTGTTGCTATGGAAACAACATGACGGAGTGCCACAGTGACGCGTCCTAAAACCCGGAAGTAAGTTAGCATTTGACCACTTCCAGTTCCTTCGACAAAAACCAATGCAATTTCTCCATAGGATTTTGGAAAATAGCTCGAAATAAGGTCTGTGGTTGACACAAATTGAAGAGACAGATCACCTTTTGTTCAGCCGGATATTATCCACATGTCTACCCTAATTTTATAATTTTATAATCATAAATCTAATCGATAGATTTATGATCGATTTTAGGACGCGTCACTGTGGCACTCATATCTTCTACATACAGTATAAAGACGGGAAAAGTAAAGAACAAAATCTGAAAATATCAGTGACAATTTTTATTATATACAATCTCAAGTTTCCAAAATGTAAAGTCCCATAGTACTTTAACATAATTGTTTTTGTTACTTTCGTTGCAGTTGTATGTCTTAAATGTAATGTAAATTGTTGCCTTCGTGTGTGGTTCGGGCGCCATCGTGTGGCCTTCTGTAGGCATCGTACTTGCTTCGGCTGTTGCTTCGGATGTTGCTTGGCCGTTGACCAAGTTCGGGGCCATTTTCGTGCGAAATTCACAATTCCATATTCGTGTGTCCATCTGGTGTCAATTTCGGGACAGTGTGACGCCCGCATAACAAAATACTAAAAAAACCATGTGTGGCTGAGCATATGTTCTAGAATATGTCCGAATCATTAGTAACTAGGATGACGGATGTTTTGTTCTCTTCTGCATGCTCTGTTCTCTACTATTTCATTATTAAATCCCATCATCCTCCCCAACACAAGAAAATTCTCATTGACACAAGAGATATATAGCACGGTATTTTGCAGTATATTAATATTAACTGCTACCATGTCTCTTCATACCAGGTCATACTTGGTGGAGGTCGACAGTACATGTTTCCGGTAGACATGAAAGACCCAGAGTATCCAACTTCTACAGGAGACCGAGAGGATGGACAAAATCTTGTTGAGGAGTGGCTCAAAAATAAAGAGGTAATTTCTTCCAAGGGTACTTTTGATTTAATAATTTAAAAAATGTTAATTGTTTCCCCCACCCTTCAAAAAAGTTTGAATTAATTTCTTTTTTTTTTATTTATTACCTACAGAAAGCTAAGTATGTTTGGAACAAAGCTGAATTTGATGCTGTCAAACCTGCAAACACAGACTTCCTGATGGGTAAGAACTATTTAATTCAAAGTTTTGATCATCAATTAATCATTCATTCCTGATTCTTCTAAAGCAAAACCACAATAACAAAAATATATTGTGCTTAAAGGAATAACTGAAATGTCTTTGAGCAAATAGAGTGAATAAAGAAATATGTATACCATCTCCTACACTCCTTCATTTGCGATTTAGCTATTTTCTGCCAACTAAAATTACACATATTTAATTGTGTCTATTCAAAACTGGACAAACCTTTTCTGCATCTAGGTCTTTTTGAGCCCAAAGACTGCCACTACGAGTTGGAGCGTGATTCGTCTATGGACCCCTCCCTTGCAGAGATGACGGAAAAAGCAATTAAGATTCTCAGCAAGAACAAAAAGGGATTTTACCTCTTTGTAGAAGATAAGTGTAATTGTTTTCTGTACATATTTCCCAGACAGCAACCAACCAAAAAAACGTACTTTCAGTGTTTCTGCCCCTCACACCATACATTAACTTAAATTCTGAATAACTTTTACGAGGGAAATACTGCTGATGCTAATTTGTTATTAAATTACTTTATTTTGAACTTTAAGTGGGAGAATTGACCATGGCCACCATGGAGGGTGGGCCAAAAAAGCTCTCTATGAGACTGTTGAGTTTGACAAGGCGATCGGGCGAGCAGCTGAGCTCACCAGCGAGCTGGATACCCTGTCAGTGGTCACTGCTGACCACTCACATGTCTTTGCCTTTGGAGGATATTCTGCCAGAGGAAATTCTGTTTTCGGTAAGAATAATTATATTATAATAAAAATAATAATAATAACTATAATAATAACAACTAATAATAATAAATAACTTATAATTTTATAAAAGAAGAAGCAAATTTTAATAATAAAAAGTGAATTTCATCTGGTGATCCACATTTGTACAATAGAATCCTCATTTCTTCTGTGATTACAGGGGTGTCTCGCTCACTAGCTGAGGACAGAAAACACTACACCACTGCTGTCTATGGAAACGGACCAGGGTACCGCAATGGAACCCGTCCAGATATGAATGAGTCAATTTCATGTAAGTATACATTGATAATATTTCTAGATAAAGCAAAGTAATTTAGTAGCTCCATCTTGTGGTGTAACAACATTCCTACTCCTACAGAGAACTCCATGTAGGTGTTCAGAGTGACACAAATGCCAAGATGAGAACCATGAACAACCACATGCTAACTAATATGAGAAAGTGCTATTGTTCCAAGCTAATGTTGGTTCTTTTTAAAAGGCAGCAAATCATTCCAGTGTAATACATGTATCAATTCTATCTATCATGTCAAAGCTTTGCAGCTGTTTGCCATGTGGCTGTTTTTGATTTGATTTTTGTTATACGCATGTGGCCAATTTAGCTGCTATAATTGTCTTTCGTCCCATTCTTCCTCAGCGGGTGATAATTACCATCAGCAGGCTCCTGTCCCGCTTGAGTCAGAGACCCACGGCATAGAGGATGTTGCCATATTTGCCAAAGGTCCCATGTCACACCTTTTCCATGGGGTCCAGGAGCAGAACTACATTGCCCACGTCCTGGCTTATGCTGCCTGCCTGGAGCCCTACGAGAACTGCGAATTGCCCCCGCCTGACCACGCTGGATCCATCCACCCCAGCCTGCTGCTCCTCCTGATGGGCCTCCTTCTCCACTACTTCTGCTCTCTCTAAGATGGCAGCCTTTGTAGAATGTCCTGACCTTGAAATAACTGTGATGGTTGACATCTTGGTTAAACATAACTTATTCTTTACACTTTTTTAAATGTAAGAGCTGTATAGTTGCAACATTTTGAGATCATTTTTATTTTAAATAATTAATAATTGTTCATGTTCCCAAATGCATCAGTGTTATAACCATGGTTTTAAAACTAAAGTGGGTTTATGGGCTGCAGCATCTCGTAACTGAAACATAATTCTGTTTAGAGCTAACCCTTTGTTTTTAGTGCATTTTAACCTTTTATACATGCTTAAATACGTGGTTTATAAGAAAATATAATATTTCTGAAATGGTACATTTAAACCAGGGGTGTCCAAACTACGGCTCGGGGGCCATTTTGAATCGGCCCTCATTATAATATAATGAAATATGTCCCACAAATGAAACAGGTGTATTATTATTGTATTACACAGTAGTATTTATGTTGTTAATAAGCCCACTTTTAAAATAAATGTAGTCAATTCATGTTGAAAACATTTTCTAACTAATCTTAGTTGATAAAAAATGATTATTATCACTCTGACGCTTTTGTTTTAAGGAATGAGTTGCCGACAGGATAAATGAAACCCTATAGAGAGCTGTGATGGAGGCTTTTTTTTCTAAAAGCATATTCATGTATCAAGCCTAATTTACCTACATGTTGCTAACTTATAACTTACGAGGCAATATACCTCTGTTAGCATATTTGGACCTACACCTTTTGCCTCTCTGCAGCAGAAAGGTGACTATTCTCAGCAGTTCAAGTTTAGCCTTTCATCACAGCGTTATTTATTAGATGCACACAGAGACAGAGAAGGGGCGTGACTCCAACAGCTCTGGGGGTTTGCATTGTGCCTTTGATGTATATAAATAATATACCATAACCAAATACGTACAGTGGAAATCAGGTTGCCAGAGCAGGTCATTCCAGTGTGCATGTTCCTCAAGGTCTCAGCAGAGTTACAGGTGAGGTAAAGAAAATAAAAGAAAAAAAGGTCGGTAACAATGCACTTTAAAGTAACAAAACTTTGAATAATTATCTCTTTCAATCATTTTCTCTCAGTAATCACTCAACTACTGCCTTGCCAACAAACAGATTGACTCATCCTCACTATCATCACAATGAAACACGTCCAGAAGAATGTCATGCAAAGCTGCCTGCCTGCCTTCCTTCAACTCTCCCTGAATAATACACTAATGGAAAGCCCGAGAATATTGGATAGAGTAGAAGTGTTAGGGGATCAGTTGGACCTGCATTTTAGTATGCTTGAGTTGAGAAGAGCAATTATTAGTGCTCGTCAAACCACTCCTGGGAAAGATGGTGTTTGTTACAAAATGCTGGAATACATGACAGATAACACTCTAGTCATTGTGTTAAGGTTGTTTAATAGGGTGTGGGATTCTGGCCAACTTCCTTCAGTGTGGAAACAAGCGATAATAGTGCCCATCCTAAAGCCAGGGAAAGACCCTTCATATCCATCTAGCTACAGACCTATTGCCCTGACATCTCATTTATGCAAAATCATGGAAAGAATGGTTACAGAAAGGTTAACATATATCTTAGAAAGTAAAGCTCTGTTGTCCCCATATCAAAGTGGGTTCCGTAGGGGTCGGAATACAATGGATTCTATATTGTGCTTAGAATCAGACATCAGGAAAGCACAGATCAACAAGGAAGTAGTGATTGCAGTCTTCTTTGATATTGAAAAGGCTTATGACATGCTCTTGAAGGAAGGACTACTAATCAAGTTAAAATCATTGGGAATTGGTGGTAAAGCATATAATTGGGTTATGAATTCTTTACTGGACAGGAAAATACAGGTGCAGAATATTCAAGTGTTTATGCTGTGGAAAATGGTACTCCGCAAGGTAGTGTATGTAGTCCGTTTCTGTTCAATATAATGATACATGACATTTTTAATCAAGTTCATCCAAGTGTGGGAAAATCTTTGTATGCAGATGATGGGGCTTTGTGGGCAAAAGGCCGCAATGTAGCACATGTTGGAAAGAAAATACAAGCTGCAATAGTTGAAGTGGAGAAATGGACAAATAAATGGGGATTCAGCTACTGACAGAGTAGCTAAGACACAGGTCATTTGTTTTACAAAACGGCATAACATTGCTCCTATATCGGTAAAATTGTATAAGCAACCTCTTGAACAAATTAATACAATAAGATTTCTTGGTGTTTGGTTTGACGGAAAGCTAACATGGAGCAATCATATAGGAACAGTTCAAAATAAATGTAAAAAGGTCAACAATGTACTTCGGTGTTTGGCGGGACAGGAATGGGGAGCGAGTAGGTCATCACTTCTGAATATATATTGGGCACTCATGAGACCTGTATTCGATTATGGGTGTATAGCGTTCATGGCAGCAGCAGAAGAATCAAACCTTAAAAAACTGGATGTCCTACAAGCTCAGGCCCTGAGAATTTGTAGTGGAGCTTTTAAAACATCTCCATGCAATACAGGTGGAAATGGGAGAAATGCCTTTAAGGATAAGAAGAGTTAAGTTAATGTTGGCATACTGGGTAAACGTTCAGGGGCACAGTGATAGTCATCCTGCGAAAAGTATTTTTGGAAGACTGCTGGGAGCACAATGAGTCACATTTAACAAGTTTTGGATGGATTGGCGATCCAACAAGTATAGGTTTGAATCAAATTCAGTATTGCCCCACAATTCCAATCTCGTCCATTCCACCCTGGTTATTCCCATTGCCAAGGGTAGACCTCAATATACAAAAGGAGTTAAAGGAAAAGAAAGAACTACCAGTATGGCGCATAGTCCAGAATTATTTTGCAAGATATCACTCAGACTCAACAATCATATTTACAGATGGTTCCAAAGATCCAGAGACGGGGTGTGCAGGGGCAGCAGTATACATCCCAGTGAGTAATACACATATAAAGAAAAGGGTAACAGACCATGTGTCAGTATACACCACAGAGTTGTTGGCATTGGTATTGTCATTGGAATGGATAGAGGAGAAAGAAATACATAATAGTGTAATTGCATCTGACAGCTTTTCAGCATTATCGAGTATACGATCAGGTAGATCTTCATCTAGAATGGACATAATAAATGAAATATATCTAATTTTATATAAAATGCAAATCAAAGGCATAGCAACTCGTTTCATCTGGGTTCCTGCTCATGTTGGTGTGGAGGGTAATGAACAGGTGGATATTCTGGCCAAACAAACACTCAGAAGTACGAATATAGACATAGAAGTTCCACTCAGCAAAGCGGAGGTTAAAACATTCATACAGAAATATGCACAAACAACATGGCAAGATCATTGGGACCTTAGTGATACAGGAAGACATCTTTATAAAATTCAAAGGTATGTGGGGGATGGAAGGAAGGTGGGGTTTAAAAGAAGGGAGGAAAATGTCATTTCTCGGATGAGA